ATGGGCTTTGGATCTCCACTCCACACTCCCCCCATCATTCACTATGGTAAGATTTTTTGTTCTGATGATGCCTTATACCTGATCCCTTTGACACCTCATGACTTGGCACATCTTAAACTGGACGAACTCAAGAGAAAATTCAAGCCATACTGAGATTCTATGGGCAAAATACGGAATGATGAAGGAAGCATCAAAAGAAGATGGAACGATTATACAGAGTCAATGCACCAAAGAGACCTTGTCAACATTCCACCATTTTAGGAGCAAGAACCAATGGTACTAACGGAAGAAGTACAAATTGCACTGAAAGCATTAGCCAAGGACAAGACTCCAGGAATGTATGGAATACCAATTGAAATATTTCAGTGAGCTGATGAAACACTGGAAGCACTTTACTTGTCTACGCCAGGGAATTTGGAAGATAGCTACATGGACAACTTACTGGAAGAGGTCCATATTTGCCCATTCCGAAGAAAAGTTACCCAACAGAATGCACAAATTATAGAAAAATATCATTGATAGCACATGTAAGTAAAATTATGCTGAAGACCATCCAACAATGGTTGCAACAGTATATTAACAGAACTGCCAGAGGTTCCGGTCAGAGTCAAAAAAGTATGGGCAAAAAAGGCTGTTCTTGATGCCAGATGGATCTTGGCTCAAAGCAGAGAATATCAAAAATAGATGTTTACTTGCATTTTATTGACTATGCCAAGGAATTAGACTGTGTGGATCACAACGGACTACGGACAGCCTTGAGAAGAATGGGAATTCCAGAACACCTCATGGTGCTGATTCGGAACTTGTACATGGATCAAGAGGCAGTTGTGCAAACAGAACAAGGGACTTCTGCCTGCCTGAAAACCAGAAAAGATGTGTGTTGGGATTATAACCTCTCATCATACTTGTTCAATCTGTATGCTAAGCAAATCATCAGAGAAGCTGGATTGTATGAACAATTCAGCATTGAATTTTTGGAGGAGAGCTTATTGACAATCTGGAATATTCAAATGACACAGCCCGGCTTTCTGAAAATGAGAAGGATTTGAAGCATTTGCTGATGAAGATCAAGGATTTCAGCTTTCAGTGTGGATTACAACTCAATGTAAAGAAGACAAAAATCCTCACAACTGGACCAAAAGGTAACATCATCATGATAAATGGAGAAAACAGTCAAGTTGTCAAGGATTTCATCTCACTTGGATTCACAATCAGTGCTTATAGAAGTAGAAGTCAAGAGACCAAAAGATGTGTTGCATTAGTTAAATTTGCGGCACAAGACCTCTTTAGAGTGTTAAAAATCAAGCATGCTACCTTGAGTCTGAGATGCACCTGACCCAAGCCATGGTATTTTCAGTCACCTTATAGGCAGATGAAAGTTGGACGTTAAATTAAGAAGACCAAAGAATTGATCTTTGTGGTGCTGGTGAAGAATACTAAAGGGTAGCGTGGACTGCCAAAAGGACAAGCAAGTCTGTCTTGTAAGAAATATAGCGAGAGTGGTCCTTAAAGGCAAGGACTGAGAGACTTCATCTTACATAATTTGGACATGTGGTCAGGAGATAGCCCCCTGGAGAAGGACATTATGTTTGGTAATGTAGAGGGGGAGAGAAAAAGAGGAAGAGCCTCAAGGAGATGGATTGACACAGTGGCGACAACAATGGCTTCAAGCATTAGAACAATTGTGAAGTTGACACTGGACCAGAGAGTAGTTAGCTCTGTTGTGTATAGGGCTACTATGGGTTGGAACTGACTTGATGACACCTACCCGCAACAACAAGGAGGATGCTTGGTGATACCGTGGGTTAGGGACTGGACGGGAAACTGCAAGGTTGGTAGTTCAGAGCCACTAACCTCCCCACAGGAGAATGGTGAGGCTGTCTCCTCCTGTAAAGATTTATAGCCTTGGCAACTCTGTACAGGCTCGCCTTAAGTCAGAAGTAACTCAATGGCAATGGGTTTGGTTTGGGCTTTAATAGGAGCCAAGGGGAATAAATATGTTAGTTATTTATAATTTACAAATATACAGTTCATAAAGAGCCCTGGTATAACTATGGTTAGACATTTGGCTCACCACAAAGTGAGAGGTTCTAACCTGCCAACAGCTCTTCATGAAAAAAAAAGCAAAAACAAAAAGAAAACCTGATATTTTGCTCTCAGAAAGATTTCAGCCTAGGACACCGATGAGTCAGATCTACTCTGTCATATAGAATCGTTATGACTTGGAATCAACTCAGTTTCACACAACAATGTGGTTGATAGAGCCATTGTAGTCAAATAATAAAGCCAAATAATAATTCAGTTGTCATTTGGTTGCATTCATTTTATGCTTCACACTATACTCGTGTCTATTTTTAATGCCCTATAATGATGACTACATTCTGTGAGGATTTTTTTCCAGTTTTAATGTCCATAAGATAGAAGTTATAGCATTAGAGAATTTCATATGTCTATTTCAGTGTTTCCCAAACATGTTGGCACTCTTGAAATACATGAAAGGCATTGGAGAACTATTCATACAAAGCTAGATTCTTGGAGATTCTGATTCCTTAAGTTTAGGATGAAGTCCAGGATTCTGTACTTCATAGGCTTCCCAGGTCACCCTACGTTTGGGCACCACTAGCCTAATTTATAATTTGGTAAAATGAAATATCCAATTAGTAGGCTCATTGGTCTCAGACCTGAGCTTCTAACTCCAGCTTCTTGCCACTGTAGAGAAATTGCTATCAAGCGCACACATTACTCACTCATCGATAGCTCCAGCTACCCGAATATCTTCCTGGTCAGTTTTAACATCCAGCTCTGGTTCTCCAGTAAGCAGAAGCTTCACATTGTAAATAACCAGCAATGAACCTAGAGAGAAAAAAAGATATTTGACTTGCCATTATCTTAAATACATAAAAGTTACTTTTGTCCTAGCATATTATTTATGAAATTGAGTGGGCCAAATTTCCCTTTGTATGTCAATAAAGATATGTTTTTATAAATTCTATGACATATATACAGAATATTCTACTCCCCGTTGAACAGTGTGGCATATGCACAGCATGGAGATTCCTATTCCTGCTCAATTTATTATAAATCTTTTCAAATGAATTCTTCATATTTGGCATTCTATTTATAATTTGCATCATGAAAACTGTTAGATTATTGACCAAATGTATATTATGATTAAAGCTCTCATCGAGTGAACTGAAATCAATGCATATACAAAGAAATATGGGTTTAAAACTTTGTACAAATACTAAGTACTGATTCTAGACTCTATTTTAAGCTTGGCCAGCCAAACAGATTCTACCACAGCTAATTGTCTCTCAGTTGTATGATGAAAACAGTCATAGAGAATACACAAATGAATGAGTATGGCTTTGTGCCTTTAAAACTTTACTTTAAAAATAGGTGACGGTCAAATTTGATCCACAAGTCATAGTTAATTGACCCCAACTCTAAATAATTAATAATGCAAAGTTCACTTTCTTCAGTAAAATTGGCTATGATATTGAAGACAAACAGGATTGTCCAAAAACTAAAAATAAGTGCCTACATTTTTGCTTTAAAAAAAATGTCCCTTACCTTAGGCTGTTTTCTCAAGAAACAAAACTAGTGATACTCATATATGAACAAGAAATAACTTTGTGTCAGAGATAAATTCATATCACAGAAGCAGCCTAGCCCAGGCCAACTAAAGCCCACGGGTCTGATGTTGGCTAGACGATGGTCCAGAATACCACAGCTGACAAATGGTGAAGCAGGAAGGCCAAGTGGGAAGCTGTAAAATCCTAACTATTGGGGTCAGAGTTGCATAGCTCCGTAGCTCTGATGGTGGCAATAATATGGTAGGATACTGAAAACTCCCAGGGTTGGCAGGTCACATGAGTCACCAGCTCTAGAACCAGACACAGGACACAAGCACACAGCAAGAAAGAAATATCGGTTTTCCACTGGGTCTCTTAAAAATAGGCCATGCCCTGAAAGAGATGTCACGAAGCTGTGCTCAAATGGATAAATCGGACTCTCCCCTTCTCTTGTTACAGATATGGCAAGTTGACACAAAATCTAACCATCACTCTCCACCTCTCGTCGAGATGGATCTTGTACACAACTCTTTTTTTTATTAATTACTAGATTTGTACACAGCTCTTTTACCATACATAATCTCCTAACTTTGTTTATGGTGCAGCTCTGTGGAGTCCTTGTTTCCTGGTCTGTATCACCCTCCTCCTCTGTACTTTAGATAATTCATGTTGTGATTCTTTTATGACAAAACCCATAAGAATAAATGATTGCCCCCAGGTGAGAACCCCTAGGAGATTAGAAGTTCAAAACCATCAAAACACATTTATAGGACCTTGCATAACACTGAACATGACTCTCATCACAATTCCCACTTTGATGAGCTTACCACATTTCCCGTAGATCATGTCAAACTGCTGCATCAATTCCGCCTCCGTTTTAAATGGGGAGTACTTATAAATCACAGCTAATTCCGTGGAGAACTTTATGGGATCACTGGTTACATGTTGCCTGGTTCTGGTTAACCATGAAGGTATTGGAACCACAACCTGAAAACAGAAAAGAAAAAGGGAAAACACCAGTCTATTAGGAAAGGCACAAAAAGAATCATCTCCTTTGGTCTGATGCTAATTGTCACACTCTCAGACAGCCAAATTACAAAACACAGTGTTCTAGATTTACAAGATAATGCAATAGGTATACTCCTGGTTTTATTTAGCAGGATTTATTATGAAGTGTGGGAATATATAAAATCCACTTCAGAGTCCTCTTGAGAGATGGGTATATTGGAAAGAGAAACAACAGGAACAATAATTTAGAAATTAAAAAGCAGATGACTTGGCTGCTCAAAAAAAAAAATCAAACACCAATACCAAAGGTGAGAACCAGCCTGATGTACAATCCAAAGCCTCTAAAAGACGCAAAGATTAATTGAAAAAATAGCTTTGGTGGAAAAATAAAGAGTTAATTCCAACTCACAGTGGCCTTTCCAGCAAGAGAAGACTTTACCTTGTTGTGTTTCAAAAGCTGCCACATCTTTCTTCTGTGAAGCAGTTGGCTAGTCTGAATGGCCACATATTTAGTTGTCAGCTCAGCACTTAACCATTGCTCCACCAGTGCTCTTATAGGTAAGGAAAGGAAAGACTAGACAAAGTATCTGGATTCCTGTCTGGCTCCAACTCTTTGCACACCCACAAGTACTGGATACTCATTCTCAGGCAGAATGGAACAAAGCATCTCTGGCTGAGAAGAAACCAGACACTGCTGTGAGCCTGTGCTAACATTAGAGAGATGGAGTCAACCATAATGGCAGAGATGAAGAAAAGCTTTTAGGACTCTTATTTGCTGATGGGACACAATTCAAAATGAGAATAAACCGTGGCAAATATCTATTAATGATTGGAATGTGGAATGTATAAAGTATGAATATAGGAAAATTGGAAGCCAGCAATGGAACACATGAAGATTGATATACTAGGCATTAGCGAGTTGAAATGAACAAGTATTTGCCATTTTAAATCAGATAATCATATTATTTACTATGTCATGAATGATAAATTTAAAAGGAAAGGAATAACATTCTTCATAAAAAAGAACATTTCAGGATCTACCTTACAGTACAATGCTGTATGTGATGTGATACTATCTACATGCATACAAGGAAATCCAGTTAAAACTATTATGCAAATGTATGCACCAACCACTAAAGCTAGTGTGAAGAAAGTATTTTACCAACTTCTTCAATGTGAAATTGAAAGTGCTTAGATAATTATTAGCATTTGGAATGCAATAGTTGCGGGGGAAAGAACAGTATTTGGAAAATATGGCTTTGGTGATAGAAATAAAACTGAAAAATCACATGATGAATTTTGCAAGACCAAAATTTTCTTCATTACAAAATCTCTTTTTTACAACATAAATGGCAATGATACACATTGACTTCCTCAGTTGGAATACACAGGGATCAAATTTAATCTATCTGTGGGAAGAGACCTGGGAAACTTCAATGTCTTCAGCTAAAATAGGGGCAGGGGCTGATGGTGGAATAGACCATCAATTGCAAGTTCACATGTAAGTTCAAGGTTGAAGATGAAGAAAACTAAAGCAAATCCAGGGAAGCCAAGATAGTCCACCTGAACTTCAAGTACAGATTTGACACCGTGAACACTGACTGCAGATGGCCTGGTGAGCTGCGGGGTGGCATCAAGAATATCATATATAAAGAAAGGGAAAGCTCATTAAAAAGAGAGGAAACCAAGAAAAATTCCAAATAGACGTTAGAAGAGGCTCTGAAATTTTCTCTTGATCATAGATAAGCAAAAACAAATGGAAGTAAATGCTCAACAGAAAATTTCAACGTGCACTTTGAGAAGAAAATGTATCACAATGAAATGCAAAGATCTGGAGTTAGAAAACTAAAAAGGAAGCACACCTTCTGCATGTATTATGCTGAAAGACCTGAAGAAAATTCAAGCCTTGCTTTGCAATGATGATTCTATAGGCAAAATCGTGAATGGCGCAACAAGCATCAAATAAAGATGCAAGAGTCACACAGAGTCACCGTAGATACTGAACCATGTCCAGAGGTAGCACATGATCAAAACCCACAGGTTCTGAGAAAAGCTCAGGCTGCTGGTGAAAAACAAGGCTCCGGCAATTCAAAGAACATCAACTGAAACGTTTCAACAAGCTGAGGACGCGCTCACTCTCCTATGGAAGAACTCTGGAAGATCTCTACCTGGCCAACGGACTAAAAGAGTTTCATTATTTGGATCTACTATACCATAGAAAGGTGACCCAAAAGTGCTTCAAGAATTCAGACATTATCAAGCAACATCATTAATACCCCATGCAAGTAAAGTTTTGCTGAAGATCATTCCAGAATAGAAGCAGCAGTCCATTGACAGGGAGCTTCCAGAAATTCAATCCAGATTCAGAAGAGGATGTAGAGGGAGAGACATCATTGCTGATGTTGGACAGATCTTGGCTCAAAGCAAAGATCCAAGAAGATGTTTATTCATATTTTACTGACTATGCAAAGGCATTCAACTGTATAGATCCTAACAAATTAGGAATAGCATTGATGAAAAGGAATTCCAGAACACTTCACTGTGCTCATGCATAACTTGTACCTAGGCAATCATTTGAATACAAGGAAATACAGAGTGGTTTAAAATCAGGAAATGTGAATAAGGGTTACACTCTCTCACCGTACTTATTTATCTATATGCTGAGGAGATAATCTAAGAAGCCGGACTATACAAAGGATAAGACATCATGAATGGTGGAAGTTCTCATTAATAAACTTTGATATGCAGATGACATAACGTTGCTTACTAAAAGTGAGCAAGACTTAAAGCACTTGCTGAAGAACAAGGATTATAACCTTTAATACGCATTGCAACTTGGTATAAAGAAAACAAAAATTATCCCAACTAGACCAGTCAGCATTATCCTAATAAACAGAATAGGATTGAAGCGGTCAAGGATGTCCTGTCCCTTGGCTCTACATTCAGTGCCCATGGACACAGCAATCAAGGAAAGAAATCATCTAGTTATTGGACAAACTTGCTGCACAAGACCTCTTTAGAATTTTGAAGATTAAGGGTGTCACTTTGAGGACTAAGGTCTACCTGGCCCAACTGGTAATATTATCTCACATGCTTTTTACAGTTAAACGTTGAATAAAGAAGACAGAAAAAGGATTGATGCATTTGAATTGTGGCGCTGGTGAAGAATAGTGAAAGAACAAACCAATCGGTCTTGGAGGAACAGAGTGCTCCTTAGATGGTAAGACTTCACCGTATGTGCTTTGGGCATATTATCAGGAGAGGCCAAACCCTTGAAAATGGCATCATCCTTGGTAAAGTAGAAGGGCAGCACAAAGGAAGAAGAGCCTTAATGAGATGGAGTGACACAGAGGCTGTAACGATGGATGCAAACAAGAAACAATTGTGAGGATGGGACAGTGTTCTTGTATGTTGTGCATAGGGCTGCTATTAGTTGTTGTGAGGACAAGAAATCCCATTGGATACTGGGGGCCTCGGCCTCATGTGGCTTCCAAACACTGACAACCTGACGTCAGATAGAAATCAGAGAAAACATGGTGTCTGGGAGAAAATGCTTAGTGTCCTTTAAGAAAAGAATGAACTGAGTTAACAAAAATAAATGACAAACTTCTTTAAATTAGGTATTTATTTGACTATGGAAATAATTTCTTTAAAGGGTTGAAAGAAAAAAGTTTAGGCAGTCTCCCAAGAAAGAATATTCGAAATAAAGAAAATAGAAAAGATAAGAAAAAGAAACAATTCAAGAAGCTTAGGACTAAAAAGTAGGTGTTAGGTAATCTAAAATGTTTGCATCAAATCATGTCTCCTCCCCACTGCCAAAACTGTTTAATTCCTAAACCCTGGTCCCTGTGAAGAAACAAAGGATGTGTATTCCAAACTGAAAAGATTTTTGAAAAACCAAAAACTCAGGAGTATGGGTAGAACCAGACCACCACAAAGACACAACATTTAAATCAGAAATCTAGGGGCAAAGTAGCATCCATTGACCTTCAAAATGAGGAGGGAAAATAGGAGAGGATCAAAAACAAGATTCTGTAATTAAAATGGCTTCACATTTCTCATTATCTTCACTGTAAACTAGAGATACTGGAGGGATGCCCTCAAAATTGTGAAGGGAAATTAATTACCTAGAAATAATATCACACCATACCAACATTCAGTGTAAGGACGGAAGAAAAAGATTTTTATGCATACGAGGTTTCAAAATATTTTAGTTCCCATGCACCCTTGTTTGTTTCATCAAGCAGCTGTTGGAGAATCTGCACCACAACTGTGAGGAAACAAAAAAAGGAGAAGATACGGGATTTGGGACTGAGAGCTGACACAAGAGCAAGGTGCTGAGAATCTCGATGTGGGGAAGGCCAATCCCAAGACGAGAGCTGAGCTTAGACACTGGGCAGAGTACAAACCGCAGAACAGCAGACACACTCAGTAGCAGCAGTGGTCTTCGGGTAGATGGAGTTGATAGTAAAGGAGATGGAGACTAAGGTTAATAAAGTGACTAAACATCAAAACAAATATGTGGCGGTAGTGATACCAAAACCGAAAACCAAACTTGCTGCTATTAAGTCAAAGCTGACTCACAGTGACCTTATAGGACAGCGTAGACCTGCCTCCGTGAGTTTCCCAGACAGTAACTTCATGGAGGTAGAAAGCCGCACCTTTCTCCCGCACAGCAGCTGGTGGTTTCTAACGGACATTGCCATTAGTAGCCCAAAGGGTAACCGCTCTCTCACCAGAGCTCCTTCGTGCTGGTGATAAGCATGTGAAAAACTAAGCAATGATTAACTTCAAGCAAAATAAAAATTCAGAAAAACAAAAATGTGTTTATAATATGGCACGATGACAAATTGCTGGTAATATAGTCTTGTGTTGTAAGGAAAAAAGATTGGTATAACCAAAATTATAATAAGACTTTTCTGGATGGGAGAATTTAAGGATTTGTGTAGGTGATGACAGTAGGGGTGAAAAAGATACTGTGGTGGTTAACATACGAAGTCAAAGTCAAATAAAAAACAATAAAAGAATTCTACTTAGAGAGATGTAAGCAATATCAAAAGAATAATCTAATTTTTTTAAAAGAAGTTGCCTCTTCAAAGACGTGGAAGACAGAACAGGATTATTGCTTCTCCTTTAAAACAAAAAATGGAAATATTCCATCCTTGGAAAGGTTTAACCTAAGCATTAGCCTCACTTCCTTTTATACACACAAAACCAAGACAAGAAATGAATCCGACTGCCATGAAGTCGGTTCTGGCTCATAGTAACATTACAGGGGATTCCTGAGACTGTAAATGTTCACGGGAACACGTAGCCTCATCTTTCTCCCTTGGAGTGCCGATAGGTTTTGTACTACCCGCCTTGGGAGGATCAGCCCTTACCTACACAGGGTGTAATAGAAATTCTTCAAGTGTCACTTCCATTAAGCCAAGTCTCTAGCTTTGCCGTTCTGTATCACCCACAGATTGCCCTCTTTAACCACCCCCACTCTGCTGTTCCCCAGTGGACAGGTAGAGCCCCTCACAGGTGTCTCCCCATCTCTACAATGACCCTGCAAACCACCAACTCCTTTCCAGACCTCAGGCCTGCTGCTTGCCTTTTCCACGTACCAGGATTTAGTGTTTCAAACTGTATTGTTGTTAAAAGTGAAGCAGACCACTCAAGGTTCTCTAATCTCTCCTTTCATTCATTTTTTTTGACATGTAACCACAATAGGGCATTGTTCCTTTTAAATACCCCTGGTTTGTTACTTACTCAATTCCTAAGTATCAGTTTTATTTTGTCTCCAAGGCTGGAAACTCTTTGATGGTAATATAATCACTGTTCTGCTTCTTTTCTACCTTTTATAGAACTTATGCCCATGTTGGGCATATTGTAATAATACATATTGGTTGAGTTGAATAACTGACCAAAAAAGTAGTGAAACAAAGGTATTTAAAATGAATGAAATACATTCTAGATCATCAAAGATAAATGGTATTATGGCCAGTAAGGTTGCTATAAGTCGGAATCAACTCAGTGACAATGATGTTTATTTTGAGAAGATACCTAGAGTTATTCGTTGAAGTCCATTTTAAATTCACTTTCTTTAAATTGTCTTTGAATTCAGTATTCTACTCAGTTACACATTATCAACCATTTATGGCACGGTGGTGGTGAGGTTCTGCAGACTTTTTTTTTTCCAAAAGAAGTATCAAACTCGAAACGTAAACTCATCGCCATCGGGTCAATTCAGACTTGTGCTCTCACAGCTTCTGTCGATTTTGACTTACAGCAACCCTATAGGACAGAGCGGAACTGCCCCTGTGCCTTGCTGAGCCTATGATCTGGATGGGAGCAAAAAGACTCATCTTTCTCCCAATGAATGGCTGGCAAGCTCCAACAACTAGCCTTATGGTTCATAGCCCAATGCATAACCCACCTTGGCTCCTGAATCAGACTCATAGTGATCCAATATTGAGTTTCTAGATAGGATATGTATGGAAGCAGAGAGGCTAATCTTTCTTCTTTGGAGTGATTAATGGGTTTGAACTGCTGTGGTTAATACACCAACACCTAATCCAGAGTGCCACTGGGATCCTGCATTGCACTAAAAGAACCTTGAGGTAGTTAGTTTATTGTGCCAGCCTGGCCGATAAACACATGTGGGGTTAAATGAAGGATGGAGGGATAAATGGCTCGGTGAGCCTCGCCTTTCTTGTCTCTTGCTCTTTGATCATTGGACCAGTGTGCAGCTACCTTGCTTGTTCTGTGCCTCCATTTGCAAGCTACACTACCTGTGGGACACCTAACCCGTGGACTGTGTCACTGTAATTTGAGGTTCCTTCAAGACCTGCTTCACCACACTGCTGGTGTATACATCGCTTGAGCTGGGGACTGTCGGACCCTGTCATCTGGCTGACTGTTGGTGACCTGCCTTGCTGTTTGCTGCCTGTGCCCGGATAGCCTGAATTGTTCTACAGAGGACTACCCGGTGGCCCTCAAGACTTGAAGGACTGCCAGTGTCTCACAACTATCTCACAGGAGTGAGTTGCACTGAGCCATTTGTACTGCTTTATAATTTAATTAACTGTTTATTTCTTATTTTACATATCTATGTGTGTGTGTATAATCATTAGCATTCTGGTTTTGTTTCTCTAGAGAACCCTGTCTAACACAAACCTCTTATCCTTGAAAAATTGGGCATCTTGATATTGAAAATATATTTCTGATAACTACCTAGAAGTATGAAAAAAAATCACACCTTAAGGAAGGGTCAATAAGACAGGCCTTCTGCTACCCCACATTTCTCATCACCTTCTATCTTCCAAACATATTCCAAATTTCTAAATATAAATAACTTATGACATACTTTACAACCTGCACTATTTAAAACACCATCATCACTATGGAACTGAAAGAAAACATCAAATCTCACCTCACTTAGACCTTCTGTTTCACAGAATGTCTGAGAAAAAAACAAACAGGTCATTGTTTCTTCCTTCTTTGTAAAAAGAATAAAGTCTTTTCCGATTCTCATGGCTCCACTGTGAAATGAAGGAAAGAGCAACTTACACATCTCAGACACTCAAAAGCAGGGACAGGTGAGCATGGTGCCACTGTTCTGCTAATCCACTACCAATGGGGCACTCATTTTTGTTTGGTTTGGTTTTCAACGTGGTCAGGATGGATTTCCACTGATACACCCAAGCACTTGCTTGAGACAAAGCTGCTAGAATATACTGCTGTCTCAAATCAGCAAACACACTTGCGGCCATCACGTCAATTCGGACTCATACTGACGCTACAGAACAGGGCAGAAGGACCCAAGGAAAAAATGGTCATCCGACTTTGGGAAGACTCCCATGGATAATCATCTCACCTCCTCACCTCTAATTAACTCCAAAAAAGTACTGCTGTGGAGTCAATCTACTCTTGAGAGGATTGACAGTCCTAAAACCCACAGGTGTAGTTGTGCTCCGTCCTATGGAGTCCAATAGAGTCAGACCTCGTACTGAAGCACGCTAAAACATAAAGGGTGGCCGTTTAGCACTTGGGCTAAAATGTGCTTTGAGGAGTAGTAAGACAGGAAGATGTAAAGTAGCTCTAAAGGACATGGACGTTACTTGGAGCATTTCTGAAAGGAGAGTTCGTTTACTATATGTATGTGAGCATGTTCAGTTAAACTAAAGATAGAGGTGAGCTATGGGTGTGATGATCCAACAAAATCCCTATGCTTACAACCAACCCCCTTGGGTATTTAGCTATAATGATATTTACAGTAGGATATTTTATTTTTTAAATCATTTTATTGGAAGCTCATACAACCTTTATCACAATGCATACGTATCTGGATCATTCTATATGAAATAACCTTTAACTAAACAATAGTTTGCTATATCGATAATATATGCTTTAAGGAGAACACTGGCTTACCTTTTAAGACCATTACCATACTGTCCAATGAACCTGAAGGCGGATGACCGTTTTTTGGATGTTCCAAAATAAATTATTTCTGAAGTTTCCTCTGCAAGTAACAAAAAATTTTAAGATGGTCAGAGATTATGAGTCATGTGGGGGATAGCATTTGGCACCCCATCTGCACTGGTTGGGGCTACTCATATGGGGTTCACATTGAAGACTAAAGGTGTAACAGTGAGGTGCCAGGGGGGAAATAGACCGCTCCATTCCTGATGGCAGGAATAGCAATAGGGACTTTTAAGATGTGTGCCTTTTGTACACGAATACTGAAGATTTACAGGGTGTATGTGTTACTCGGGTTCAAGATATGGAACCCTGAAAGAAAAGGAGTTTGGATTGATGGATTCTAACATGTCCTTCTCTCCATTTAACAGAGATATTGATCTGTTCTGTGTCAGGATCCCTGTTAGACTTGTGGCTATTTGTATGTTCTCTCTCTCTCTCTCTCTCTCTCTCTCTCTCTCTCTCTCTCTCTCTCTCTCGCTCTCTCTCTGTTTATGTATACAAGATAAGCAGGATAGGTAATCCTACGGAGCCAGCAACCCAGCGACCGACCGAGGGTTCCTGGAGGATATGGGAGAGGAGGCGGCCAGGGGGCAGAGGAGGTGGGGAGTGGGGAGCCAATAACAACAGGGATAGGGAAATAGTAAGGGTTCTAAATTTGAAGGTGAGGAGGGTGTAGCTTTCCTGGTCATGTCTGGATCAGTCTAATTGTATCTGAGAGTAAGTTAAACATGATAATGGGACCGAAGGAAAAAAGAAGAAAGAAAAATTATATATTAGGTATGCAACAAGGAGGCAGATGGACTTTGGGCCTCTACTTAAATCTTACCTCAGTAGAATGGTTTGTTCTAAGAATGTGGCAATGTATGATACTCACCTTCCTGACATGATCACTGAAGACAAAATGGATGCATAAATAAATGTGTGAAGCAAGCTAGTGGTGCCCAGCTACTAAATGATATAGTGTCTGGGGTCTTAAAGATTTGTAGTTAAAGAAGCAGCCACCGAGCAGGGAAGCAACAAAGCTCATATGGAAGGACACCACCATATATGATCATGAGGTGTCAATGGGAAAAGGTATCAGAAGTTCAAAAACAAGCAACCAAATCAATGTGAATGGGTGCTGATGTAGTGGAGACCCAAAACCCACCTGTGAGATAATCAGACAGTCCCTCTCAGAAGGCCTACACAGAAGGGATGATAAATCCGGGGTGAGGTATAGCACCGATAAAACACTTAACTACCCTCTATTTCAGTGGTTCTCACCTTCCTAATGGCCTTGACCCTTTCATACAGTTCCTCATGTTGTGGTGACCCCCAACCATAAAATTATTTTCGTTGCTACTTCATCACTGTAATTTTGCTACTGTTATGAATCGGGAAACCCCTATGAAAAGGTCATTCGACCCACAAAGGGGTCATAACCCACAGGTTGAGAACCTGCTGTTCTAGTTCTTTAATATTTATTCCCCTTACTATTAGGGTTTTTATTTGTTTTACCTCATTAATCCTACTAGACTTGTATGTGTTCATTTGTATAATCATCATGAAAACCAAGTTAGATACCCCTTCAGAAACTGTAACAGTAGTAAATGTTTCCATGAGGGTATGGGAAGAGATTGGGGAGAGGGGAAGGGGTTGCTGATAGCGCTGATGACTATGTAACCCCGCTTGAGGGGAGGGAACAACAGAATTGTTTGCTAATGGATAGATTGGATGGTATAAGATATAGCAAAAAGGTGGGGGGGTGGAGTCTGGGAGGGTTGGTGGAGGAGGGAGAGGATAAACAGGAAACGATTATTAAGAAGCTCAAGAAGAAAGAAAATGTTTTGAAACTGATTGTAGTAACAATTGTACAAAAATGCTTAATGTGATTGAACTATGGAATGTTATATCGGTAAGAGCTCCCAATTAAAAAAAGAAAAGAAATTATGAGTCATTGATGCTGGCTGGAGATTCAGTTGTGAGGCCCTCACACATATCTCAAGATATTAAAGAAAATGCACACAATTTTGTCAGCCATGAAATAAGGACTGTGGTCAATTTCTATAATCTCTGATCAAGATCATAGCAGTGTTCTATTGGAGGAGGTACCAAAATCCCACAATTAGATAAATCCATTTAAAATTCTGAACCTTAACTCCCTCACTCCAAAAGGAAACTATTACTATTTTAAAACACCTGAAGATAAATTAGATGAATTAAATAAGATGATTTATTTGTGAAACTCTGAACACAAGACTAGGCATTTGGCTGCTGTGATGAGATGCCATCAAGTTGGTTCCAACCCATAGTGATGCAATGACCAGCAAAAGGGGACACTACCTGCTACTATACCATCCTCACAACATCCCTATGCCTGAGCATCATGTCTTCAGCCAAGCTGACACATGTCCTCAGGGCCATTACAAAATATGTATTCGGGCACGCCAAACGGAACATCCATATATGTTATTTGGTAATGGCTAATAAATAAGAGCTAATACAGAAATTATTTGCAACTTATTAGTAACTTTCTTGTGGATATTAGTGTATCTAGGTCATCCATGAGAGATTAAGGACTGACTGGCTTTTGATCTGATCTGCCACCATGTAAGGAAGAAAGCTTAGTTTCAGACTTTCAGAGTCCTTTTTCTGATCTCTCCAGAACATTCTGGAAGTCTACAGACGTCCAACATGTCTAGTTTCAGAAACAAGAGCAGTGTTCTGAGAGAAAGGAGAAAAGACGTGCATGGATGTCACAGTTGGCATGCAAGAATACATATTTTAGAACTGCCCTGAGGACCCTGTGTCAGTTTGGCTGAACACATGATGCTTTTTTTTTATCATTTTATTAGGGGCTCATACAACTCTTTTTTAAAAATAATCATTTTATTAGGGGCTCATACAACTCATCACAATCTGTACATACATCATTTGTGTCCAGCACATTAGTACATATGTTGACTTCATCATTCTCACAACACCCGCTTTCCACTTGAGCCCTTGGTGTCAGCTCCTCATTTCCCTCCCTCCCGACTTCCCCGCTCCCCCCTCACCCTGAACCCTTGATAATTTATATAAATTATTTTATCATATCTTACCCCATCCGATGTCTCCCTCAGTCACTTCTCCGCTGTCTGTCCCCCAAGGAGGAGGCCATATGTAGACCTTGTCATCTGTTCCCCCTTTCTCCCTCACCTTCCCTCCACCCTCCCACTATTGCCACTCTCTCCACTGGTCCTGGGGGGTTCATCTGTCCTGGACAGACATGATGCTTTTCAGTGGCTCTTGATGTGGGAAGCATAAGGCTGCTGGACAGCCTGTTGGTCTGCAGCGTACCGGATATTCAAGCATACTCTTGTGAGAAGTTGCTTCCTTAGGTGACCACCACCCTTCTTCTGTCCATTTGTTCTACTGTAGTGGCTTGCACATTGTGATGATATTGGAGCCTCTGCCACTGGTATTTGAAATACCAGCAGGGTCACCCATAATGGACGGGACTCCGTGGAGCTTCCAAACTAAGACAGAGCGGGCAACCTTGGGCTGAAGTTGGCCAGTGAGTACTGGTGGGTCTGTCAAACTGGGCCACCATGATGGAAAGTGATATGGTGCCACCTCAAGCCACGGGGAATGGGCATAACTCAAAATCATTATTGTAGGGAATAATATTTCAATTCCAGGGCAAGTAGGTAAGGTGCACCTCTTATGTGCTTGCTCTGGGCTCTTCTTGAAGATACAAAGACCATACATGCAATATATCGTAAAATGCTCTATTCCCTGGGGGGAGGCCAAAGGTTAACACACTCAGTTGTCAATGGAAAGGTTGGGGGTGTGAGTCCACACCCAGGTGCCTCAGAAGAAAGGCCTGGTAATCAACTTCTGAGAAATCAGCCCCTGAAAGCCCTATGGAGCCCAATTCTACTCTGATATACACACGGCTTCCATAAGGCAATTAGAAGATGGTGGTTCTAAAGTACCTGGGTGGTGCAGTGAGTTGGCAAAAGGTCAGAGGTTTGTAGTCACCCCAAGGAATCTCAGAAGGGAGTCCAGCCAATCCATTTCTGAAATCTTAGCCAGGGAAAATCTAGGAGCACAATTCTACCCTAATATGCACAAGGGTCTCCAGGAGTCAAGAGTTCACGCCAAGGTAACGGCTTTTGTTTTTATTGTGGATTAATTCATTGGGACGGGAACATTCAATGGAAGCAAGTAAATCTGTGAACATGAGGGTAATATACACCAACTGCTAAAATACTTGGAAGTAACCTCTACCTCAAGGTTAAGCAGAAAATTAAAAACAGCCTAGAGGCGCTGGAAACTGCCTCAGGCTCTCGAAAGCAGTACCTGACAAAAGGGCTACAAACAATCTCAGAATCCCTTCCGCTCTCATTTGTTTTGCATTCGGTCCCAAGTGTTTTGTTGGTTTTTTAATAAGCAACCACTATCTCTTGCCTTTCACTTTTCTGACAATATTTATTTAAATACACATTTTGTCTTTCTTTAGAGGGCTACATAAATTTACTCCATCAGCTAGAGTAATAGTTAGACCTGAGAAGTTCCACAATAAGTCCGAGATTTATATTCTCCGATGGCTCCACACCTATTTCGAATAAATGGCTTAATTTATTTTTATGTATATGTTGCACTTTCAGACGGTTTCCTTCAACATCCAGTTAGGTATCTGGAGCATTAACTTACCTGGGCTCATGCCACATCCGTCATCCAGGAAGCACAACATGAATCCACCCTGCAGCTTTTCATTACCCACTGTAAGAGAAAGCAGTTATTACCAATAAATAGTGGGCTTAATTTGTTCGTCAGAAAGTCGTGCTGCTCACCTAATTATTCCTCCTCCTCACAGGCAGGCACAGAGCAGCAGACCTGTGGCACAGTGAGGGCACTGGGAATGCTGTCTTGGCAGTAGATTCACACACACACACACACACACAACTGCAGGTGAAAATACTCGTGCAACCAAGAAAAGGCTTTACATCACACAAAACCACTGCACATTAGTTAGGATTGCAAGCGGCATGTTACGTCCTGCTCTGCAAGTGGACTGGTCCTTCCCATTCCAGGCGTTTCTTCCTTTGGGGAGAGATGAAAGATAGGTGGTGATGTAAGCCCAGGCCCTCTTGGTCAAATTGATCTCGCTGTATGCCTTTCCGCCAACGCACTCCTTCTTTAAGAAACCCAGGCCTCTCTTATTAAATCGACCACACTTCCTTCTAGGAAACTCATTTTCTTCCCAGCCAAACCATTTTTGAGTGTTTCTTAGGGGGAGAAAATATTTGCCTCTTGAAGATCTATTTGATAATTGAAAATATCCAAGTTATGCAGAATCAGTTTTAATGATTAAAAGATACTGTTAGGCTATATGATTTTTCTTTTAAAAATAAGGTATATCCTAAACAAATGAGACTAATTTTAACGTACAACTCATAAACTGACTCACAAATTAATTACAACATTTAGACAGATGACTTCTGGGAAATTTACCTTTTAAAACATAACAGCTTTATTGGGGTATAATTGTACATAATAAACCCCACACATTTAAAGGGCCAATATGTTCAATTTTGACAGAAGTGCATACCCAATAACCTCGCAATCAAGGTAGTAAACATGCACATCAAACGAGAGGTGTATGGTGCCCCTGTGAACACCTTCCTGCCTCTTCCCACAGACAACCACTGACTTGCTTTCTGTCTCTAGAGATCAGTCTCCAGCGCATCGGTTAAATAAAGAATAAAACCAAAAACCAAACTCGCTGCCAACTCATAGTGATCGTAAAGGACAGAATAACAACCCTGGGGAGTTTCGGTGACCGCAGCTTTTGAGCGGAGTAGAGACCTCCTCTTTCTCATGTGGAGGCAGCTGGGGTTTCTGAACTGCTGGCCCATGGTAAGCAGCCCAAAGTATAAGCACTGTGTCACCAAGGGTCTTAAGTTTAGTCACTTTTATTCACATTTTAAATATTAATTAATTATTCAAGGTGATTCATGTTTAATTACCTGAAAGACATACCTAAACTTTGAAGATCACTTCTAATGACGTCTTCTAATCCAAATGCTTGTCAATAGGCCCAGGCTCTGCTTTGTTATCAGCTGCCACTGAGCGAATTCAGACTCATGGTGACTCTGGGTTTTCAAGGTTGTGTGACCTTACAGACAGACATCACTGGACCCTTTCTTTCAATGTGCCACTGGGTGGGTTCAAACTGCCTACTTTTGAGCTAGTAATCCAACAGTGAACCACTTGCACGACTAGGACTGTTTACCTCTGCCTTACTATGTTAGTCCAGGTAGATACTAGAGAACCAAATTCAGAGACACTCAGATGTGTGTAAGAAAGAGCTTTATATAAAAGAGCACTTGTATATTAGGAAAACATCCCAGTCCAGTCTAGAGCAAGTTTTTAAGTCTGATATTAGCCCATATGTCCGATACCAGTCTATAAGTTCCTCTTCAGACTCACACAACACATGTAATGACACAGAATGCAGGAAGATCACAAGCCAGTGGATGGAAAGTCTTGTGGATCCAGTGGCAGTGGAAACATTTCAATGCTGGCAGGGGTCTCCACGTGGCTCCTCCAGCTCTAGGACTGTAGTATAGCTCCATGTGTCTTGTTAGCAGGAATGTCTCACAGGGAGGGTCTGTAGTGCCCTGCCTCCAGTGAGCTATTTATCTCCTTAGCACCTCAAATGAGGTCATCAAGCTGCGACCTGATTGACAAGCTAAACACCCCTTCACTCTGAAATTTCAAGTTGGCAATAGATTATGTAACTGCCACACTTAACATCTCTTTTTCCCAGTTTTCTCTCTGTACTAAGCCCTTTGCTCTGTTTCCCTTAATTTCTGTACCAGGATATTCCTTCCAGGCTGTCCTTGAGGTATTTGTTCCATCCAGTTCTCCTTCCAAGGGAGCTATTCCTTCAATATTCAATGAAGGAAATCCGTTTTCAATTTTTTACAGGCCGTTTTCAACCTTGATTGCTCATTAGAATCATCTAGAAATATTGGTTTAACTGGTCATGAATGATTTCAGGAATTGATGTTTTTCTTTAATAGTTTATTGGCATATAATCCACATATCATACTAAATAATAGTTCACTTATATTTTTAAAATTTGTACAAGCATCACAATTAATTTCAGAATATATCTTTGTTGTTTTACATTGTTGGCTCCCCATCCCTACCCCCACCCTCAACTGGCTACCTTATAGGGCAGGGTAGAATTGTCCTGTGGGTTTCCAGGACTGTACCTGTTTATGGGAGTAGAAAGCCTCATCTTTCTCCCATGGAGTGGTTGGTGGTTTTGAACTTGTGGCCTTATAGTTATCAGCCCAACACACAACTACTACACTACCAGGGCTTCTGTGATAATTATTAATCCACTTACTGTCTCTATAGATTTACTTATCCTGGATTTCACATACAATCATACAAAACAAAAACAAGAAACAAACAGAAAATCAACACCAATGACAAAACAAAAAAGAAAACCTCAACTGAAAAGAAAGCAAAAATATTATAAAATGAGCCAAAAGGGAGATCAAATGATAAGGTGTTACATTTTAACCCAACTCCATCTGCCATCATCAACTTTACAATACTCTGTCTAATGGGCAGGCTTTTCACATTTGGGGGCTATGGTTGGTCAGAGAAGATGGACCAGAGGCTCAATCCACGTGGAGGCCGTGCAAACTGATTTGGGGCTTCCGTTAGCATTCCTAGCTTTCTGCAAACAGTGCTCACAATTTAACATTGCCTTCTTTGGATGTGAATCGTATTATTTACAATCCTTGAGTCACACAGTTGGCGTGCTGCTTCCGTGGATTTCGTTGACACCTCACTTAGATGGCTGCTTCTTTTAAGACAAAGCTTTAAGACTCCAGATGCCATACGTTCTGATAACCCGACACCATCTAATTTCTTCACCACATTTTGCAGTAGCACCCATATCTTCAGTGACCTAAAGTGAGCAAAGATTAGCGAGACAGAAACACCACCTTCAGAAGTGGGTGGACTTAGATTATGTCCAGAAGCAATAGCTTATCATTTTGATGTCATTTGGTAATAGTTTCTATTGTTTTTTTTAATAGTTTGTGACTTACCCTCTTACATAATCTAACTTTTTCTTCAAATCCTAAGCAGATTGCTGACTAGATATATTCATGACTTCAAAATTTGATTTCGTTATTTCTTCAAAATTATGGAGTTTTCATTGTTGTTTTGGATTTGTATATCCCAGATGGCTAATGATCGCGAGAAGTTGTCATGTGTTTGTTAGCCATTTGGATGTCATTTTTGGTAAACTATCAGATATGTCTTTTGCCAAAATTTTTATTGGATTTTTTTTCTTATTGAAGTGTGGCAGAACTCTATAGATTTTAGTAATTAGTCCTTTATCTGTTGTGTCAGAGCTAAAGATTTTTTTCCTAATCTGTGAACTCTCATTTTCTTCTTTTGATGAAGTTTTTTTTTTATATAGGTAAGTGTTTTGTTGAGTAGGTCCCAGACATGTATTTGTCTTCCACTGTGTGTATTTCCTTTACTACATTTGGTGGTATGTGTATGACTGGCAACAGGGCCCTTGAATTTGTCCCAATCTTCTCACTGATGATCCTTATAGCACTGGGTTTACATTTCTAATATATCTTCTTGTGTTCATTTTCTGGCATGGGACAAGGTATGGGTCCTGTTTCATTCTTTTGCAGATGGAGATCCGATTTTTCTACTACTATTTGTCGAAGAGGTTATCCCTTCCTGTTTAATGTTTTTGATTCATGTTGAAAATCAGTTGCCTCTAGGTGAATGCATTTATTTCTGGAATTTCCATTTTGTTGCATTGGTCTATGGATGGGTCATGTCCTAGTACTAGGCTGTTTTGACTCTTGTCGCTGTGTTAGAGGTTTTGAGATGGGTAGTATGAGGCCTCCTGCCTTTTCTTTTACTTTTTTCTTTATCCTAGGTCTCCTTCCTCTCCATATGAAGTTGGTCATTCATTTTTCCATATCTTTAGAGACTGACGTTGGGAACTGGGTAGGAAATGAATTGTATTTGTAGACTGTTTTAGGTAGTATTGACTTTTACGCAATAGTCTTCCTATCCATGAACACAGAGTAGTCTTCCAAATTTGTAGGTCTCTTATGGTTTCTTGTAATAATGATCTGTAGTTTTCTTTGTACAGGCCCTTTGTTTCCTTGGTTATATTTATTGCCAGTCTCATTATTTGTGTAAACAGTGTCCACTCATTTTAAAATGTACTAGTCGGAGGAGATGAGCCAGTCAGGGTGCGATGTAACAATGATGAGAAATACAACTTTCCTCTAGTTCCTAAATGTTTCCTCCCCGCTCCCACTACC